CCCGAAAAGGCCCCACAAGCTCATCTTTGATGATACCAGCCCAAACCAGTACTCCACCTCCACCTTGCTGGCGTCTGAGTCGGACTGGAGCTCTCTGCCCTTTACCAATCCAGCCACGGGCCCATCCATCTGGCCCATCAAGACTCACTCTCATTTCATCAGTCCATAAAACCTTAGAAAAATCAGTCTTGAGATATTTCTTGGCCCAGTCTTGACGTTTCAGCTTGTGTGTCTTGTTCAGTGGTGGTCGTCTTTCAGCCTTTCTTACCTTGGCCATGTCTCTGAGTATTGCACACCTTGTGCTTTTGGGCACTCCAGTGATGTTGCAGCTCTGAAATATGGCCAAACTGGTGGCAAGTGGCATCGTGGCAGCTGCACGCTTGACTTTTCTCAGTTCATGGGCAGTTATTTTGCGCCTTGGTTTTTCCACACGCTTCTTGCGACCCTGTTGACTATTTTGAATGAAACGCTTGATTGTTCGATGATCACGCTTCAGAAGCTTTGCAATTTTAAGAGTGCTGCATCCCTCTGCAAGATATCTCACTATTTTTGACTTTTCTGAGCCTGTCAAGTCCTTCTTTTGACCCATTTTGCCAAAGGAAAGGAAGTTGCCTAATAATTATGCACACCTGATATAGGGTGTTGATGTCATTAGACCACACCCCTTCTCATTACAGAGATGCACATCACCTAATATGCTTAATTGGTAGCAGGCTTTTGAGCCTATACAGCTTGGAGTAAGACAACATGCATAAAGAGGATGATGTGGTCAAAATACTCATTTGCCTAATAATTCTGCACTCCTTGTAAACTAATGATCACATTTGTGCAGCAGAGTTTTTTATCATTTCAATTTTAGTTTGAGTCTGAAAGTCTCATTTCCTGGCTAATCATGGCAGCATATACACATGGGTTAGCTCCTCCCCTACAGCCGATAGGACAGGAAAACCACCAAGGTTTTAAAAGGAGGCTCCATCCCTAAGGTCCTCAGTCTTTTTCCTGTCCTACAGCCCTTAGGACGTGAGCAATTTGCTCCCTTTACTTACGGACATGTATGTTTTATTTTCATTACTTTATTTGCCGTTTTACTGTAGTACATTATGCAGTTGTGCTTTTATGCTGTGATTCATTTAAGCTTTGATATCTTTAACCCCTTAAGGACCAAACTTGTGGAATAAAAGGGAACCATGACATGTCACACATGTCATGTGTATCTTTAAGGGGTTAAACGAGTGCATTGTACAGCTGTACCTTATTTTTAAGATTGTGGTACATTATGCGGTTGTGCTTTTGCTTGGAAGCATTTAAGCCGTGTGGCATTTAAGCTGTGTGGCATTTAAAACTGTTTCATTTAAATTTGCATTTAATACTGTTGCATGTAATACCGCAAGTCATTGGAAACCGCAGTCCATTTGGAAAACCGCAGTGCATTTGAAGACTGATATATTTTAAAAACTGTTACATTTTGGAAACTGTTAGATTTGAAAAATGTTACCTTTTATACCTTGAGGCCTTTAGACTGTGGTGCCTTTAAACTTTGACTGTTTGCACCTGGTTGCCTTTTAAACTTCCTTGCAGGCACTTTTGTTATCTATTTTGCTTTCCCTCGGTCCCAGTGATTTATTCCCGGTTCCCTAGGTGTTTAGGGGCCATGTAGGCTTCAGACAGAGTCCTCTCCCTGGTCTCTAAACAGTAAACACACTCGGAATAGGCCCACATGTGTGCAGTTTGTGCCTTATTGGGCCTAATACAGATGACTTGCATTGTGGGAATACAAGTTGTGGCAGCCATCTTGGATAAGGGCAATTGCCAGAAAGTGCCTAAAATAAAGGGAAAATTACAGTAAACATACCACACTTATTTGGTAAGTATTTGCAGGGTCTCCAGACATGGATAAGTGCTGTCTTTAGCCTGTTTTAAAGCGGTTTCGCTGGTTTCTTATAGAATTTAACAGTGCACATTTTTTGCTTAATACTTTACCACAGGTAATATCTAGTTATTTGTCAGGTGTCTGATTCTTCACCAGGATCTGGTTATGAGGAGAAAACAGTGGATGGAATCGGTTATGTACTGACTTCCTCCAGAAGGTTGTCGCTTCAGCGTGACCTATCACTGTGCAGCCACATGACATGCGGGCAGGGCTTACGAAGTAAGTTCCAGAGGCCTTAGGGGTAAGAAAAGAGGCCAGGCTTTAACCTGTGGAGGAAGTTATTTCCAACCCCAGAACTACACCACCTAAGTTGCACACTTATGGATCATAGGTGGACACAGACCTGTCCAAAATTTTACGCCTACCATTGCAGGAGGCCAGCCAGCTGTGATTTCCGCTGCTGTTTCTACAAACATGAAATATGTGATTAAAGATCTAGAGGCTACTATGGAGCAAGATATTAAAAGCCAAGATTGAAGAGGCAGTCTGAAGTCTTCAGGTTACAACTGACTTCTTCACAGAAACTTCCCTAGATGTAACTAGGATATCCTTTGGATCAAATGGCTTTATCTATAGCAGCTAAGAAAGCATTATGGTTCTGTTTCTGGGATGATGACTCATCCTCCAAGTCTGCCCTCTACACCATTCTATTTGAAGGGGTGGTGCTGTTGGGAAAACTTTGGATAATTCCATTGAAAAGGCGAATGAGGGCTGCAAGATATTGGTACCTTAAGATGGAAGTTCCAAGGATCCCAGCTCCTCATAATCTGACCGGAGAACCTCCAGTGACCAGTATTTCTGAGATACAGGGAGCTACTGGCCCTGCAGGGAATACTCCAGAGGTAACTCATGGCAGTTGGAAAACCTGCCTTTCAAGGTTCTAATGGAGCTAGAACGCAGTTGTTTTGCTCTTCAGCAATGAAAATATATCCTCCAGTACTAGGAGCCTCATTTTTCTGATCATACATACAGAATGATATAGACTGGAGTTTTTTCTTAACGGGCACAGGAGTCTCCATACCAACAGTATTAAGACCAATGAATCCAAAGGTAAAGCACTGAAGGAAGAAGCCTTCTGGACGAAGAGGTGATTTTTTTTTGATTTTTTTTTTTTAGGTCCCAGAACAAGAGCAGTTCCAGGGACAAGTTTCGCCTCTCTTCTGGTGCTAAGAGGAAAAGCACATGAAAGCCTACACTGGACCTAAGAGGGGCCAACAAGAGGCTGAATGTTAGCGTCTTTGGGATGGAGTCAATCAGATCCATATCTCAAGCATTCTGGAAGGATAATTTCCTTACCTCTATATATCTCAAGGATGCTTACTTTCAGTCCAATCTGCAGAGATCTTCGGCATTAGCTCAGAAGAGAACTTCCATGTTAGGGCCCTACCATTTGGCCTCAATGCGGCCCCAAGAATCTTTCTATGTGCTTATAATGTTATTGAGAGTCCAAAACTCCACCTGGTTCCATTATCTGGAGGATCTACTTCTGATAGCCTTAGACCCTCAGAAGGCAGGCACACATAGGTATATAGTTCTTTCATAACGCTTAAAGTTTGGCTGCTTGATGAATATAAAGAGAAGCAGTTTCAGACCAGCTCAGTGGATGACATCCATGAGTGGAAAATTCTAGGCTCTGCTTTTCCCTATCTCGGGAACAGTTCCACAGATTGTAAAGGTTTTCTCTCCCAGTTTCTTCATTTCTGCCTGGTAACAGCAAGAAAATAGATGCAACTACTAGGAATCCTGGCTTCCATCAGCAGACTTGTCAGATGGGCCCAATGGCATCTCTGGATTCCTTACAGATCCTTCCTATTTGGTCTAACAAGAGAAAGATTATTGGAGCCAGCCACTTACTATGTCCCCATCAGTGGAGTTGCACCTTACCCTGGCAGCTGAAAGAGGGATTAGATCTGAGTTTCCAGTGAACAGAACCTCATTGGTCAATTATTAGCTCAAATTCCAGTTTTTATAAGATTGGTTGCACAGTGTTTGGACCATGTTGCACAATATTTCCATTCATTTGTATGGAATTAAGAGTAATTTTCAAGGCTCTTCTTCACGTCAGAGGCTTGCTGAAGAACGAGTGGGTCCAAATTTGCTCAAATATCGATGCAACTGTATCCTATATCTACCAAGATGGGTCGCACAGATACGTATTGATGGAATTCCAGCCCATAATGATCAAGGCACAGAAGAACAACCAGTGGTTCAGAATACCATGGCTGTTTGCTGGAGCCGAATAACTGTGGACAAGGTGGATTGGCAACCATGTCCTGACGTATCCTCGTGGTTGACACAGATTGTCTGATACCCTACATAGATCTGATGGCCATTTCTTGGAACTACCAGGTCCAGAAGTATTTTTTACATGCTAGGACCAGAATGCTCAGGTTCAGGATACACTGGCTCAAATTTAGAATTTTAGTCTGATGTACATATTTTCCTGTTTTCGACATTCTTAAAAAGGCAGTGCAAAAGGTGACAGTGGAAGACCGTGTCGACTCTAATTCTTATGATGAATAAGATTATTCTGGAACCTCCAAGGGAAATTCCTGTACGTCCAGACATATTACAAGGCCCCATGAGACACCAGGATCCTCAAGTTCTGGTGTTGATGCGGGAGTCCATATTAGTATAGGCATCCCTGAAACGGTCATTGAGATCCTCTTACAATCCTATACAGGCTTTACTAATCTTGACATGCTTTTGTCTGTTGGAATTACTCCTCGTTCAGGCCTTGAAAGGTTCTGTGTTATAACACTCTAGAGGAACACTTAGCTGCACTTTGCTTCATATAGGCATTGATTGAAATCATGCCTCCACTGAGTGTGGTGAAGCCAATATGTGAGGTACCAATGGTCACACGGGCCCTGACTGAACCATTATTCAAACCTCTAGTAGGAGCTTCCATGGTGGTAGCACAGAAAGTGCTGGTGGCTGGTACCCCAGCAAGAAAAATGGGTGAACTCCAGGCTTGATCCTGTGAACCCCCTTTCACTACTTTTCAACGGATATGGTCGTCTTGCATTTGGCACATGAAGATCCTGCCTATGGTGAATGCTTATCTATGTCATTCTATACCTGTACTGAAGGGTACCGATTGAGCGTTGATGCCCCTGGTGCTTTGCTTCATGTAAGCAACAATTGAACTCAAGCCTCCGCTGAGGGTGTTGAAACCAATATGTGACGTACCACTGGTCTCACAGACTCTGACTGAACTTCTAGCAGGAGCTTCCATGATGTTAGTCCAGACGTTGCTGGTGATTGGTACCTCAGCAGGGTGAATGTGTGCACTTGCTGCACTTTGCTTCATATAGGCATTGATTGAAATCATGCCTCCACTGAGTGTGGTGAAGCCAATATGTGACGTACCACTGGTCTCACGGGCCCTGACTGAACCATTATTCGAACCTCTAGAAGGAGCTTCCATGGTGGTAGCACAGAAAGTGCTAGTGGCTGGTACCCCAGCAAGGGAAATGGGTGAACTCCAGGCTTGATCCTGTGTACCCCCATTCACTGAATTTCAACAGGATATGGTTGTCTTGCATGTAGCATCCGTGATCGTGCCTAAAGTGAGAGCCTTTCAATGCCGTTCTCTACCTGTAGCAAAGGATTTGGGGCATTCTCCACTAGTGCTGTTACAGCATCTCGTGGGCTTCCATGGCAATGGTCTCTGCTGAATCTTTGTAAAGTTGGCATTTGAACTAGTTTGTCATTCATTACATATTGAACATTGAAGCAATTATGAGGCACAATTTGGATGTCACGTCCGTTCTCTACCTGTGCTAGAGGGTATCAGGGCACTCTCCTCTCATGCTGTTGCAGCATCATGGGTTGCCATGGCAATGGCTTCTGCTGACACTTTTTGTAAGCTAGCATTTGAACCTCTTTTAGACACGTTTGTCTGGCATTTCATACTGTTCGTTAAAACAGTCTATGATGCACAATTTGGTACTCAAGTACTTAACTCAGTTCATTCTTCTATCTATGTTGAATTATTCTGATAATTTGATTGGCTATTCTGTCCCTCCCTTTGTAAGCTTGGGTATTCCCCATGTGTATATGCTGCCATGATTAGCCAGGAAAGTGGAAAATTTATTCATACTTACCGTAATTTTCTTTTCCTGGCTATTATTCATGGCAGCATATACTTCCCACCCATTAATGTCTCTCTTTATGTACTGTAGAGCTTGTGAACTGACTGAGGACCTTAGGGATGGAGCCTCCTTTTAAAACCTTGGTGGTTTTCCTGTCCTATCGGCTGTAGGGGAGGAGCTAACCCATGTGTATATGCTGCCATGAATAATAGCCAGGAAAAGAAAATTACGGTAAGTATGAATAAATTTTCCACTATTGTGTGATTTTAATAATTTATGTTTTTCTAAAGTAGGTTTTAAAGCTAAAAAAAAAGCAGATTAACGGATTCAAAATTCAATTCAACATGAGTTCAATCTATGATATCTCAAAGGAGAAAAAAGGGGTCCTGGGTGGCAGTAGAGCCAACAATGAACGTCTGTTGAGGCATTTACAATAATTGGAAGATATACCGGTAACATCTGAGATACTCCGAGTAACAATAATAGACATACATTTTTATATTGGATTCAACTTGTATTCTAGTTATCGAATATTTACATATTCAAACAATATTTAAATGATTTTGCACATTTTCCCAAATATCAAAGTGTGATTCAGTGTATTTGTTCATGATTATTCCTTTTTATGATAGAAACATCAATAGACACATTTGTTTTCTGAGAGCTTTGAAGATTAGCTGCAAGTTTTGGACAAAATGCAAGAATCAGGGTGCGCATGGAGAAACTGCCAGTGAAGAATTTAACATCTGTAGTTCAAATTGTTATTTCGAAAAAACTGTCATCTGTGATAAAAATTCATGGCTTACTCACACCCACATTTCTGGAGAGAATACATTGCTGGCTTGGCTCCAGTGATCTCCGTGAGGTGGTCTCATTTCTACAATAAAAAAATCGGATACATTATAACAGTGTTGGTAAAGTAACCATCTTAACCTCGTCAATATCTGGTAATATGATCTCTGTTTCATAAAAAAAAACAATCAAAACAATAAAAACAAAGCAAAAAAAAAGTTAAAATAACAAGTGTATATAAAAAATAAAGTACCGTATGTAAATTATTTGTCAAACATTCCCATTTTATAATTGTAAAGCTCTGCAGAATTTGTTGGCCCTATATAAATGGTAATAATATTAATGTGCTTTTCGGGATGAAATTAAGTCCATAAAGCCTCACTCACCTTTATTTGTTCTCTAGGAATAATTACTAGCCTGTACATAAAAAAATATTACTAAGAGAAGCCAGTGGTCTCTGAATTAATGACTGGTACTGTGTTTAAAATAATTAGTTCACCCCTGCTTTCTAGTGGTAAAGGAAGATTTAATAGGTCATATCATTCCTACATTTGGAGAGAGTGGGGGTAAATGAACGTTTACATTTTACTGTTAGCATTACATTGGCGTTCCAGAGATTGATAAAGATTTCTACAGCGGTTTTAAATGCATTTATTTTAGAGATATATGATTTAACTATATTTATGTTTGTGGATATTATGCTCAAATGCAGACATTCTTTTTGCATTGCGCTGCAGCTTTCAGTAATCTGAACTGTTGTTTGACACATTTCATTTATCTATTTTTCTCACACCTGTTGTATGTGAGAAAAATTTATTTTTGCTTTTATGATAACATTTCAGTTCCTGTGTAACAACATATTGCATGAAAGGACACTGTATGTGTCTAAATCCTTTCCTATAAATAATTTTATAGAGGTTGAATGAATAAAGTGAAATTAATATAAAATATATATATATATATATCCATTAAGAGAGGTGCACTCACAGGTCTTTGCAAAGAAAAGTATCGCTTATTCACTCAATATAATCCAATTGTCCCATATATTGAGTTAATAAACTATACTTTTCATTGCAAAGACCTGTGAGTGCACCTCTCTTAATGGATATATACTGAACGCTGGAAGCACCGAGGCAATATATATTTAAGGAAGAGTGCCTAGGACAACTATATATATATAAAATTTAAAGTTTTAGGTTTGTCTGAAAACATTCTGAGTTAAAAACAAAATACTAAAAGCCTTTTAACATAAATAAGTTTTTTCTATTCAATAATTTAAAAAGAAATATAAATGCCAGTATAGTAGACCGGGGCCACCGTTCAATATACAGAGATTACAATTATTATTATTATTATTAATGCAATTTGTATAGCGCCAATAGATTCCGTAGCACTTTACAATATTATGAGTGGGGGAATTTAACTATAAATAGGACAATTACAAGAAAACTTACAGGAACGATAGGTTGAATCAGGGTTATTCACCAAACAGAGGATGAAAATGATATTCTTACGACTGCACTGGCAATTCTCATATTTACTAAAGCCAAATGCAGTCATAATTCGGTCATCTTGAAAGAATTTGCAGCAATTGTCCAGGTCAATTTGGTGTCCAGATTAGAAACAGTGCTTTTGCATCTGAATCCTACATAAAGTATAGGATTCAGAGGATTCCTAAAGCAGAGTGTTTAACTGAACAGGGGCTGAATGCAGTTGTCAGAATGCACATTCGCAAATTATCGTTCACTTGCTTTTTGAAAGTAAATGATCATTTGAAGTGCTATTAGCCCCTTGGCAAAACTAGCAGCCGGCGGGCAAATAGTTAAAAGCCCTCAGCAGCAAGAGGGTTAATAATGAGGCAGCTCGCCAGTGCTTCCTTGTCAGCCGCCACATTAAAAAAGTAAAATAAATAACCTATTGTGTCAATAAGATCCCCATATTACTCCCATATTACTGGGTATTTTAGCCCAGTCGCTTGAAAAGGTATCATCCCATTAGGAGGGAGCATAATGAATGAGGGGGACATAGGCTTGATAGGTGGAGGCTACTGGAGTTACAATATGATCGTCATGGAACGAGGGAACATTTACATATATCTGTGTATGTTAAATTATGCAGAATTCACTGACACCAATGTCAGCTCACACCGCAGCCACTTGCAAACACTTCCCTATCACACACAGACGGACAGCCCCAAATACTGCACTCTCCTGGTAAATATCCCAGTTGGCCGGTGCAGCCATTAAGCTTATGACCCACCAGCCCAAGCCAAGACTAACACAGGGCTCTATCAAATTCCCTGCTCAACCCCTACCATCTGCCTCACCCATGCAGTACTGTGCCAACATCCCAATACATCCCCATTTGTTTTCAATCACGAATGTTGCCATGAGATTGTCATGAGATTGCCACCTGTAAACTTCAAAATTAGTGGCTGAGAAGCTGGGAGGAGGGTAATTGCCTCCCTGCCCTCTAGCCAGCCCTCTCTCTGGTGCATGTACGAAAGACAACTTATGAAAAGCTTGTAAATAATAAGAGGACATGGGGATAATAATCCAATATAAGGGGTCTCAGGGACTTGAATGGATGCATACATTTCTGTGTATTGCTTTAACTTGAAACTTCTAATTGATTCCAAGTACCACTTGCCTCTTATATGTTATATATGTCACAGCAATTACTGTAGACTGGTGAAATACCAATAGGAGTAATGATAGATAGTGAAATTAACTAAAATAATATTTATGTGTTTGTTCGCCCAAATAATCATGTACACATTTTTTACTTTTTATATCGCGATATTAGATATTAAAAGGGTCACTCTAAACATCATAACTACTATAACCCATTGTGGTGGATATTTTGCTTGCATACTGCAGGCGTCATTGCACAGTTGGGTGCCAGAATGTTTTTGAGTGGCGTTTGACACAAACCATGGATCCCCAGGCATCACGGGTCCTCAGTTACAATTTCACATTAACAATGTCAATTTCATTAAAATTTGGATAGCATTGATTGGCTGAGTGTCAGCAGGGGTTAGTGCAAAAAAAACCAAACCCAATATAATTTAGTAACCTTTTCCATGTTTGTTTCTTTGTTTACGTAAACAAGGTGTGCAAAAAACCTAAATGACTAAATTACTGGATATTTACCAATATTTTCCAAATGCATGTTTAATGTAAGTAAATATATACGATTCTAGCATTAATTGTCAGATCCTCTTGAAACCTATAGATGGCAGCCAAGATACAATATTGTTCCAAGTTTCCAAGTTTCAAGTTTCTAAATTCATATGATGTTTCCCTTTACTTTCCTTAAAGTTTCCCAGGCAGGCAGTGGGAAGTTTGTTAATGAGATGAATTTAGAGCCATGATATGATGTCATCGAACCATCCAAAGTAAAACACGGACTTTTTTTTTTTGTTCACTGCAATCCTGGAGTTTTGCACAGGGCTATTGGATGGGTGATCCTTTCACAAAGAGGAATGCAGCTACTTTCTCAATGGAGAGTTTATCTAGGAATGTGAGGTGACCCACTGGTG